GCGGGGGGCGGGTGTGACTTGGCCTGCTGAAGCATCCGTCATCCAGGTAAATCCTGTGTGTGACGTATGACACCATCTCCTCAGGCCTCAGTGTCTTGGCTGTAAAATGAGGCATTTGACCTACATCGTCGCCAAAGGGTGAGCTCGCTCAAACTGGCACTGGGAAAATCTAGATAAAATGTTCAAACGAGATGATAAAAGCCGTTTGCTTCCAACCCCCTCCCCCCTCCACCCCAGGAAACCACATGGTAAACTCTTCCACCGTATTTTATTACACATGTCCGCCCACGTGTGTTCTTGGAAGCTTCTTTTACGCACACTTCAGGAAGCATTCCATAAAGTCTCCCTCCCCTACTCCAATTATCTTCCTGCCACGTTCCTCTTCACCCTTCCTCTCCTATTAAAGTGCCGTTGCTTCTGGTGGAGACGCCCTGAATAACCTCCCAGGGCGGTCAGAGTGGAGCCTCTGCCCATTTGCATTTGGTCTGGGCACAGGGAGGGACCGGCTGTTCCCGTCCACGCCTTCAGAGAGAGCCGCCTGTCGGCCATCCGTTCACCTTTGCCCACTTTGCTGACCGTGCTGGCTTCCCGCATCCCAGGATGGGGGGTTCCGGGGGAGAAAGAGGACTTCCGTGTCTCCCCCAGGCTCCAGCAGCTGTGGGGAGACGGCAGAAGGAGCCCACCCTTGCTCAAGTCCTCTTTCTTATTGCACTTGAAGTGCTCAGAACTCACACCTAAAACTCAGCAAAGCCCACGGAAGCATACACGTCTGCACTCCTTGCAGGAACCCCTGTCCCAGGCCTTTTCAGCACATTTAAACAGCCACTAGATAAAACAAGGCGTTAAGGAAATTAGCGGGCTTGAGAACCTGGCATTTCATTTCGTTTGGGATGAGCTTTGGGAATCCAGGGAAGAAAAACCCTGTTAGTACGAAGCATGGTCAGAGAGAAAGAGGCAGGTGGGTGACAGGTGTGAGGCTCCAAGAGGTGGACGTGGCCCGGGGCTGTCGGGCCCAGGGGACCTGCCTGGGAGCCAAGCCATATAAAGTCAGATTCTGGTTTTCTAATCACTGTTTACCAAGTAGCTACTGGGGCTCCAGCCTATTCCAGAGGGGAAGGTGTTTCCTCAGGTAGCCTCATAATCCTTGGGGATTTGATGTTCTAACAAGGATGCTGTTGAGCATGAAGGGTTTTCTCCCCCTGACAAGCCCTTCACGTTGTGGGGAGAAGAGGGTATTAGCAGGAATAAGCCACGGACCAGCCATGTAGGTTTTTAAGATCTCGTTTTGTCTCGCTCTACCTGTTGTTAATTGGGGTCATACATGATGATGATGATGATGATGGTGGTGATGGTGATGATTCCCCCTTGACCAAATAAATCTGGGAAGTGCTGGGGCATACACAGCTAATCGGGTGGGCTAATTTGAGAATAAGACGTCTCTGAGCTTTTAATGTGCCACGGGGCAGGCAGAAATGAATTCCCCAGGGTTTTGAGCTCTAAAGGCTTTTTTTTTTTTTCCATGCCATTCTGTGAATGGATTTGGGTGGCACCAGGCCATTGCCGGTCCCCAAATTAATTAAGACTTTCCGGAGTCTTGGGTGGTTTCTTATCTGGCCTTCCTGCAAACCCGGAGGCGGATACCCATCTTCCCAAAGTATCATCCGTATTCTCTGACTTTGCACAGTTTGGAGACTAATGCTGCTTTTCCCCTACAGAACATCGATATCACCAATTTCAGCAGCAGCTGGAGTGATGGCTTGGCCTTCTGTGCTCTCCTCCATACCTACCTGCCTGCCCACATCCCGTATCAGGAGCTGAACAGTCAGGAGAAAGTAAGTCACCTGCCCAGTCAGCCCTGCTGATCCTCTAGAACATGCCAGGGGAAGAGTCCTGTCATACTGGCACATCCCGATGAGACCCCAAGAGGAAATTAGGCTATTGACACCAGGCTTAGCTAACTACTGAGTGTATGATGAGGCTGTAGGATCCCACCCTCAGTAAATACTTCTCAGTTTCCCTCACTAGCTAGAAAAAGGCCGTGAGGACCAGTTTACTGTGGCTGCTGAGAAGTCCCTATGGCCCATTTTTTAAGAGAAGGCCCTGATGAAATTTCAAGACCCTGGCCAGCACTTTCAAAGTCTTTTCCAAGGAACCAGAAAGCACCACCGAAAGGATGTCCCTCCTCAAATAAGCTTGGGAAACTGTATATTATGTCACATTCTCAGAGATTCACAGCTCTCATTAGCCCAGTGAAGACTTCAAGAAGTCCTTCATTAAAGACACCTGTGTGGGGCGCCTGGGTGGCGCAGTCGGTTAAGCGTCCGACTTCAGCCAGGTCACGATCTCGCGGTCCGTGAGTTCGAGCCCCGCGTCGGGCTCTGGGCTGATGGCTCAGAGCCTGGAGCCTGTTTCCGATTCTGTGTCTCCCTCTCTCTCTGCCCCTCCCCCGTTCATGCTCTGTCTCTCTCTGTCCCAAAAATAAATAAAAGTTGAAAAAAAAAAAAATTAAAAAAAAAAAAGACACCTGTGTGACTCTATTAAGCCCTGCGTATATGAGATCCACAGAATGGTCTTCAACATAATTACCTATAACAAGAGTTGGCAGACTTTCCTGTTAAGGGCCAAATGGTAGACTTGGCGGGTCCACGGGTCTCTGTCACAGCTACTCATCTACCACTGGAGTGCCTGAGCGGCTGTAGACGAAATGCATGGGCATATGCTGTGTTCCAACAAAACTTTATTTACAAAAACGGGCTGCGGGCCAGATTTGGTCCATGGGCGGTAGCTTGCCAAACCCTAACCTAGAACGTCCCACAAAACCATATTCCACAGAGCGTACATTGGCAGATGCTCTTCTGGGCCCTGCACTCATTCTCTCACCAAGTGTTTCTTGCCAAGCGTCACGCACGGTAGCAAAGACAACAGTGAACAATGTGGACCTGTTCTTTGCCCTCTGAAGTAGAGAGACAGTCCACAAGTGAGTAAACCTACAGCACGTAATGCTATAGAGAAACCTCAGAAGAGCTACCGGGGAAGCCCCGTGCTGTGGGAGTGAACAGCTCAGCCAGGACTCAGCTTCCCTGGCTCCAGCCTCTAGCTGTGGCTGGGGCAGTAGCATCGTAAATAGAAAGATATAGAAATAGGTCTTAGATATAGAATCAGCTGGACTTAGTAACTGATTGGTTGTGGGGGAGGACAAGAGGAAAGAAAGATGGCCCCATGTGTCTAGCCTGACGGACCATTTTTGAGATGGGGATCAAATAGAAATGCTGGAAAGTTCTGTTTTGATTATCCCACACTTGGGCTTAAATAAAGCCCAAAGAATGGTCATGACACTGATGGTGATAATAATTGACTAGACCATGATTTTTGTTTTTAGAGTGTTAGAGTTCCCCAGAGAAACAGAACTAATAGTGTGTGTGTGTGTGTGTGTGTGTGTGTGTGTGTGTGTGTGTGTGAGAAAGTTGAATGCTACAGTTGGAATCTAAAGGCAGTTTCCTAGCAGAAATCCTTCTTTGTCAAAGGGAGAGAAGTCTTTTTCTAGTAAGACCTTCAACTGATTGGGTGAGGCCCACCTACACTCTGGTGGGTAATTTGCTTTACCCAAAATCTGCCGATTTAAATGTTAACCTCATTTTTAAAATACTGTCACAGAAACATCTAGAATAATGGTTGGCCAAATATCTGGTACCACGACCTAGCCAAGTTGATACATAAAATTAAGCATCACAGAGTGTGTACAAATTTCAAGACATAAAATGTGTGCGTGGTGCTTTGTTTATAGTCTGTGAAGCAGGCCGGACAGGACTATTAAACATTTGGAAAGCAAAAAAAGTGTTCTGTTTTTAATCATGTCAAGTCAAAAATGTTCACGAAGTATGCAGTTTGCAACGTCAGGCAGGCAGTTGGATACCAAATGTGGAGTTTAGAGGGGAGATCAGAGCTGGAAAGAGTCAGGAGTCTTCCATGAGTAATAATTTTTTTTTTTTAACGTTTTACTTATTTTTGAGACCGAGAGAGACAGAGCATGAATGGGGGAGGGTCAGAGAGAGAGGGAGACACAGAATCTGAAGCAGGCTCCAGGCTCCAAGCCGTCAGCACAGAGCCCGACGCGGGCCTCGAACTCACGGACCGCGAGATCATGACCTGAGCCAAAGCGGGCCGCTTAACCGACTGAGCCACCCAGGCGCCCCAAGAGTCTTCCATGAGTAGATAAGTGCTGCCTGATTGAACAGAAGTGATGGAAATGTTCTATATTTGTCCCGTCCAGTACAGTAGCCACCAGCCATATGGGCTGTTAATGGAATGTGGCTTTAAATGACTGGAAAACAGAATTTTGAATTTGAATTAGAATTTAAACAGCGTCGTGTCAAGCGTGACTGCTGCATGAAACAGGGCAGGTATAGATGGTGTTTTAAAGCCATGGGAGTAGCGATCACCTCAGTCCTAGGTCGTGAGGGAGGTTCTGAGGAGAAACACACTCCTGTATATCTCTGCTCCTGCCAGTGTTTCACTTCTGACACTTCTGTAAACAGATGGGGGGTTTTCCCACACCAAGCAATCTGGCAGCACCAGCTGGATGTCCTAAAGTGTATCTCCATTCTGACACTGTCTACCTGGAGGGAGCATCGGGTCCCACAGGTTAAGGGCTCAGTCTCACCTCAGACCCCAGTCACAACTCGACTGTCGCCTGTGCTTCTGATTGACCAACTGTAACTCAGAGGTTCCTGTGACCCCTTCCTGAGGTTTAGTTAATTTGCTAGACTGGCTCACAGAACTTACTAGGCTACCAGTTTATTACAAAGGATATTGAAGGACACTAATGATCAGTCAGATGAGGAGACCCATAGGGTGGGGTCCAGAAGGGTGCCAAGCACAGGAGCTTCTGTCCCCTTGGACTTTGGGGTGCACCACCCTCCCAGCACATAGATGGAGTCACCAATCCAAGGTGCTTTCTGAACCCCGCCCTTTTAAGTTCTATGGAAGCTTCATGACACAGCCACAATGGATTAAATCACGGACCATCTGTGATTGAACTCTCAGTGTCCAGTCTGTCTCCTGTCCCTGAGGTTGGGGTCAGGGGAATGTGGGACTGACAGTTCCAACCGTTTGATCACATGGCTGGTTGCTAGGGCATCCTTAGGTGATCTGGGGGTTGGGGGAACATCACCTCTTTGACATAAACTCAGGTGTGGTTGAAAGGAGTTTGTTATGAATAACAAAAGACATCTATTTCAACATGATTGTCCTGAAGCCATTTCTGGAACTGAGGACAAAAACCAAAAATTGTAACAAAAGATGCCCCTGTGGCTCTTCTGTAGGAAATTATAAGGGTTTTAGGAGCTCTGCCAGGAACCAGGGACAAAGACCAAATATATGTTTCTTACTATAAATCCCAGTATCACAGAGGCGTAGAGAAAAGGCTAAGGAACAACCTTGAGGACTCCAATGCCTGTTGTCTAGGTCGAGAGTGACCCAAAAAGGGAACCAGGATAGAGCAGCCAGAGAGGAGGACACAGGGCAGGGCAATGCGGGGTCCACGCCGCCTGTGATCGTGCCCCTCACATCCAGCCGTGACCTCGATGTCCGTTTTCTTCCCTCCCTCTTCACTTTCTAGTCTCTGCCTTTTCCATGTCATATTATGAAGATAATGGAGTAAAGAGCGGGCAGAACACAATTCAGAATATTCAGAGGCCCTCCCTAAAACCACAGTTGATAGAAGGCTGAGCACTTAGGAATACACCACCTAAAACAGGAGTCTTCCTGTATATGCGCGATGTTCCTCTGCTGTCATGCAAAACATATCTAGGCTCTTTGTCCTAAATCGCTACCCAGCTGTTGGAGAAAAATGAACCTAAAAGTGTGTGCCTTCACACCTTGAACCATGAGCATATGTTCCCTGTGGAACCGTATCGTCTCGCTGTGGGTGCCCCTGACTCCCACATAGCACCCAGCTGGCTGTCCACTGACCTGCTGCAGATTTGCAGACAGCCAGAAGCCACTGTCTGTGTACTTCCTATTGTCCTTGCGGTAGAGGGGCTGGTATTTTCTCCACGTAGGGCTGAATTTCTCCCCCCTTAATCTAGGATAATGCAGTCAGGGAGCACCCAGGTCAGATTGCGGGAGACTGTGGGTCTGGGAGATTAATGTAGTCGTGAGCTGGGAAGTTCAGAAGTCGTGAGCTGTTGCCCCAATTCAGACGGAAGTGATGCAACCATGGAAGTCTGACATCAGTGCTAAGCAGGGAATTTCTGATAAAACTAACAAGGATGTCTTCCAAGCCATTGGGGAGACGTGAGTTACACATTTTTTTCAGTGTGTCAGCCTATGAAACTTCCACGGAGGCTACGCAGATTCGGATGATAGAATTGACAGAATGGAGTGTTTTCATGCCAGTGTCTGAAACAAAATGTTAACGTGAGAGGGAAAATTCTGGACTTGGGGTGCTTTCTGCTATCAGTTTCAAGTGAGGTGCCCTGCCAACGGGGCCAACGGCAGAGGTCTCTAACCAGGGGCTCATCGTCCTGGGTCTGGAAGGTCTCTGGCCCGTGTGGGCAGAGCGAGGCCGAGTGAGGCCCTTCCTGGCTTCCGCCCCAGACACACTCTGCTGCTCCCCATAAGTGGCCATCTCGCAGTGGCGTAGCAGTGATGTGATGAGAGAGAATTAGATAACAGTGCTTGGTCGTAATAGTCTATGCAGGTAAGGGTGTGAGAAAGTGGACGCTTACACCCTGTTGCTGGAATTGAAAATTGGTGTATCATTTTTATTTTCTCATGCCATGTCGTGTCTTGTCGTTTCATGTCATTTCATAGGCTTCACGCCCAGCGTGGGGCTTGAACTTGTGACCCTGAGATGAAGAGTCGCATGATCTACCAACTAAGCCAGCCAGGCCCCCCTGGTGTCGTGTTTTAGAAAACGATTTGGCATTACATATCAAAAGGCATGACTTCTGGAATAATGGTAGCAGACAGGGCTTATAAACCCCCTTGCTCCTCAAAACTAACCAAGAAGACTTTAAAATAAGGATAAAGGCCTCATTAGCACAGAATAGGAAATGGCTGCCCCAAGTTTGGGCTCAATTAAAGGAAGCCAGGAGCCAGCTTTCAGCTCCCCTCTCAGCAGAACAGAGAGTAGTGTTACGGAAACCAGCGTTAGGTTTCTAGTCCCTGCCCATTAATCTCCCTTAATGTGGAGGAAGAGGGCTGGCGGCTTGGGCAAGCTGACCGCAGATCAACAGCTTTCCCAGGCCCTGACCACACACTGGTACGAGACATGTGTAGCCTTGTCTGAGTGTTTTTCTGTGACCTGGTACCTAGAGCAGAGAGTTTGCTTCAGCGTCAGGGCAGGAAGCAGATGTGCACCCAAGGACAGAGGGCAGAGGCCATGAGGAAATGGAAAAACAGATAAGAATATGTATAAAATCCAAATGTGGGGTGCCTGGGTGGCTCAGTCAGTTAAGTGTCTGCTTCTTGATTTCAGCTCAGGTCATGATTTCATGGTTCGTGAGATCGAGCCCCGTGTTAGGCCCTGAGCTGACAGCGAGGAGCCTGCTTGGGAGTCTCTCTCCTGCCCCTCCCCCACTCATGCTCACTAGCGTGCTGTCTCTCTCTCTCTCTCTCTCTCTCTCTCTCAATATAAATAGATAAACTTAAAAAAGAAAAAAAAAAGATTCTCTCTCTCCCTCTTGTACACGCATGCACTCTCTCAAAAAAAGTCACCAAAAAAGAAAACAAATATAAAATTTTGTATTTAAAAAAATTTTTTTTCAATTTATTTATTTTTGAAAGAGACAGAGCATGAGCGGGGGAGGGGCAGACAGAGAAGGAGACACAGAATGTGAGGCAGGCTCCAGGCTCTGAGCCGTCAGCACAGAGCCCAACATGGGGCTCGGACCCACAAACCGTGAAATCATGACCTGAGCTGAAGTCGGACGCTTAACCGACTGAGCCACCCAGGCGCCCCAATATAAAATTTTTTTTAACCTAAAGGCATAAAGTCACAAAATTCTACTGGGGAACATAAAACATGAATACTCACAGAAACATTACACTCTCGGTCATGTTTAACACATCAATTTAATTAAATTGTAACATAATCCTAATGGTCCTCAAATGAATTATGGAGGGGAGGAGACATGCTAAAGCGATTCTTAAGTCCATCCAGGCGAAGAAACAGCAGGGAGCAGCCAGAAAGCGTCTCAAAAAGAAGCTACAAATTGTGGAACAGTACCTTCAGAATTCTAGGGGAAAATGACATAGCACATTAATTAAACAACAGTTGATAAGCAACAGAATATGTATGTCATGAATCGTGACAAAGTAAAAAATAACACAGATTGACCTTTGATAGTCAGAAATCACCAACAATGTCATTTTTAGTACCAATTACAACCTGTCAGTCTTTTTTTTTCTTAGATTGAAACTATTGTTTGAATATTTGACCTAAAATTTCGAGTGTTTTGTAATAGTAGATAATCTGTGTGGGAGCGTCGTTTAGTGTTCTTTCCTAACAAAAGCTATTTATTTTTATTTTTTAAAAGCTATCTATTTTTAGTTGGTAATACCAGTTTCTTTCTTTTTAACCTAGAAAAGAAATCTCTTGTTGGCATTTGAAGCAGCTGAAAGTGTGGGCATCAAACCCAGCCTGGTAAGTATCCTATTTTGTATCCTTGTGATACTTTGTTCTACCTGTAGGAGAAAGAACTTTATGCCATCTACACAATTTCTTACAGAATATTAAAATCCATTTGCTGAAGATTTGTTGCTCACGATCCCTAACATGTAAATATCCAGTTGGTCTGACCACATATGATTTAGAGGGTTTTCAAAGATTTCGTTGTGGCTAAATTTCATTTCTGGAAGCACAGTGGACTGAATTATCATTAAAGCCCTCTTGAAATCCGATAAAATCTGATAAAATGTAATTTAAAAAAATATTAATACGTAGTTGAGGTCTAAAAAAAGAATGGGAAATCACCAGATGTCATAAATTCAAAGAGAAGTGAAAACCAGAACCATGAGGCATGAGCCGAGACTGTGACAACCCTCAGAAGTAGGCCTGGGGGTGTCGGTGGAGGGGTCACAGGAAACGGGTACCTAATGGATATAGGTTTTATTTAAATGCCAACACAGGAACAAGAAACAAGGCTCTGAGCTCCCATAAACGGGACATTAGTACTGAGACCCTTGCACAAAATCAAGGCTTACAAAGTAACATTCTTCTCAGTGAAGGGGAAAATAAAAAACCCTGCCTGGCAGTCTAGGCAGGAAGCTTGGTCTCCACCTGAGTTGTTTTGTTTTGTTTTGTTTTGTTTTTTGGTAGCCAGAAAAAGGAAAATCTATAAGAAAAGAAAACTGGGCCAAATGAGGTTTGGAGTCCAAATTTATAATATCTGTGCTACAAGATAGTTTATACTGCCTGAGGCAGGAAGCTCCTGGCTTAGTAGTATAATGGCCACTGAGAATACATTCACAATCCAAAATTACAAAACACTCAAGAAAGTGAACTAGCTGAGCTAGTTAGTAGACATAGCAAACAAGAGGATCATCTACCAGAGCTTGAAATAATAAAACCATAAGAAAGCGACTACAGAAGGCTATATTTGCGAATATTAAAGAGATAAAAGAGGGGGGTGCCTGGGTGGCTCAGTCTGCCAGTTAAGTATCCAACTCTTAGTTTCAGCTCAAGTCATGATCTCACAGTTTGCAAGTTCTAGCCCTGCATCAACCTCCCAGCTGACAGTGCAGAGGCTACTTGGGACTCTCTTGGTGTCTCTGTCTCTGTCTCTGTCTCTCTCTCTCTCTCTCTCTCTCTCTCTGCCTCTTCCCAACTTACACATGCTGTCTCTCTCATTCTCAAAATAAATAAACTTAAAAATAAAGAGATAAAAAGAGAACAAAAATCACAAGGGGGCGTCTGGGTGTCTCAGTCAGTTAAGCGTCCAACTCATCCTTTCGGCTCAGGTCATGATCTAATGGTTCCTGAGATTGAGCCCTGCATAGGGCTTTGTGCTGAGAATGCAGAGTCTGCTTAGGGATTCTCTCTCTCCCTGTCTCTCTGCCCCTCCCCTGCTTGTTCTCTCTCTCAAATAAATTTTTTTAAAACTCATAAGGAAGAAGCATAGTACTATAAAAAAAGATTTGGGGAAAGATTCAAGTGAAACTTGTAGAAGTAAAAATTAGGAATTAAAAAAAAAAAAAAGAAAAAACCCGGTCGGGTTGAAAAACGGATTAGATACAGAAGAAGAGAGACCTACTGGACTGGAAAATAGAACTAAGGAGGTTATCCAGAATATAAAACAGACATTTAAAAAATGGAAAATATAATAGAGAGGTTTTATTAGTATGTATTCAAATTCAAGAAATGGAAAACCAACTAACTGTTGCTTAAACCATAAAGATGTTAATTTTATTTTTTAATGAGAAGTCCAAAAGCAGTTTCAGGAGTGGTTCACTACTCAGTGTTATAATCAAGGACCCCAGAGTGTGTTTTGTCTACACTCTACCATCTTTAATCTATTACCTCATTGTCCCCATGTCCTCTGTGGCCGAACATGGCTGTCAAGCTCCAGACATCACTCCTATCTGCAGGGCAAGAAGAGGAGTGGGATGGATTAGAGCAAGTGCCTCCTGTCTTCCCCCCTTTGATAAGGAAATCAAAAGGCTTCCCAGAGTCCCTCCAGCTCGCTGGCAGTACTCTGTTCCATGGCCACCCCGGCTGCAAGGGAATTTGAGAAAGTAAACAGTGAATGTTCTCCATTCTCTTCAGCTGGAAATCTACAAGGGAGAGGGGGGTTGGTAACGGCCATTAGATTAACCAACTGATAGTGTCTGTCACTGACCTTAAGAGAATGGAAGATAAAATCAGATCATTTCCAAGTCCCATGGCCAGTAGGAATTCCAGAAGAGGAAAGAAAGAGTGGGAGAGAAAATATTTGAAGCAATGGTGCCTGAAATTTTTCCAGAATGATGAAAGACCACAGATTCTTGGTCTCTAACAAGGTGAATCTCTAACAAGATGAATCTCTAACAAGATGAATAATACAAAAGACCCATCTAGACACATCATAACGGAAGGAGCTGCATAAAAAGTAAAGCGAGGACAGGTAATCTATAAATAATTTCTACTAGCCAATAATAAAGAAGACACCTTAGGAGAGGTGCATGGCAACTCGTGCATGGCTAATAAACACTTAAAGAGGTGTTCAGTCTCATCAGTGATGGGGAGAACCCAAGTGGAAATAACAGAGACAGTTCTGCAACCAGCAGAGTATGAAGGGAGTCTGAGAAATGGAAAAGCGATCATAGAAATTTCAGTACTATGAACAAAGTTACGCTAATGCGTTTAAATCAGAACGGACAGTTTTCTAAACAAATATAAATATATTTCTTCAAATACTAAATGTAACTATTTCTCCAAAACTCACTCAAAAAGTAGAACTTCAACCATGAAAGAAATTGAATTCATTGTTTAAAAAATGTAGTCGCACACACACAAAAATGCCAGTGAGCCCAAATTCTACAAAACTTTCTACAAGAAACAGATGTCCCTATCCTATAAATTAAAGGCTAGAGAATTTAGAAAGGAGGGGACATACATGTCTGGCCAAGATGGAGGAACGAGAATCTGATTTATCTTCCCTTCGGAAACACTGAACAGCTAACAAGTAACAACAGATAATGCGGGGAATCAAAGAAAAAATGCGAACTTGTTAGAAGATGGTATCATACACAGAATGTTTTTCTCTGTAGTGTTCCAGCTAATAGTTGCTTCTTTTTTAATTCCACCTTTTTTCCCTGTTTTTTTATCTGACATACTGCAGAAGTCAGTGAAAGCTAGGAAGTGAATGAGATCATCTTGTCAAACTAACAGTCAGAGCCAATGGCTGCATTTTTACAGATGTCTGTGAGGAGATACAAGCATAATAATTAATCTCAGAAGCATTTGGAGATGCTTGCGAGCCATTTAACTAGTTCGTGCCATCAACAAAACAGAAACTTCCTACATTATTAAACTTGCTCTTCGGTGTCTTGATGTGGATTGAAAAATAATCCTTAATTACACATGTCACTTCTAAAATACATGCAGTCAGAATTGGCAGCAGTAAAAACCCCCGGGTCTTTGATAAAGGTCTCTTGTAAGATTAGTCAGTAAAAAGGAAGGAAGGAAGGAAGGAAGGAAGGAAGGAAGGAAGGAAGGAAGGAAGGAAGGAAGGAAGGAAGAAAAAGAGAGAAAGGAAGAAAAAAATGCATTCTTTCTCAGCCACTTTCTCAGCGTAGGGTAGAAATTTAGGCCACCACATGACAAGGGTGAGCCACTCCCCGTGGACCGAATAGATAAGAGAGGATGTGTGGCATCACATTGCCATTACCGGAACGACAGCCAGAAGGTGTGTCCTCTGAGGACTGATGTGTTTGTATGCTGGTGAGGGGAGCACTCTCACGCTGAGTCATACAGTCTGTGACAGTGTTGCTTAACGAGTAAGCCACCCGGACAGTCACTACCCACGGAGGTTAGGAGGGGGTCATTACAACTCAGGCTTTGATGACGGTGTCTGAATGATTCTGTAGGCGTAAGCGAGCCTGCACCGTAGTATAAACTTTATAAAGGATACTCAAAGAGTTCATCTGAGTTTAATAGCGTGAAAAATTGCTTTTTTGCGTTTCCCACGCGCCAGGCATTTTCCATATGTTGACTCACTGAACCCTCTCAGAAGTCCTGTAACGACAGATGCTCCTTACAGGAAGGACAGTGAGGCGGGTGCTGTTCCATAAAAGCTCACACAGGAGTGAATAGCGGAGGCAAGAGTCAAGGCAGAGCCCACGTCTTCTCCAGAGCCCACGTCTTAACCTGCCCCATGACCCTCCATCCAGGACAGCTGTGCCCACCTTTGGGTTCTTAGAGCAGCATTTACTCCTCATACTGTGTAGCACATGCTGTGTTATGTTGTGATGTGTCTGATTATAGGACTTCATCCCATCTCCCCAAGACCATGAGCTCCCAAGGGCAGGAAGCCCTGTCTTTTCAATTATTTTTATTGTGGTAAAATACGTATAACATGATCTAAGTGTCTTGTCACTTGGCCAATACCACACTGTCCTGATGAATACAGCTTTGTAGCAGCACCTGGGTGGCTCCGTCAGTTAAGCATCTGACAGCTCAGGTTATGATCTTGCGGTTCATGAGTTCAAGCCCCACCTTGGGCTCTGTGCTGACAGCTGAGAGCTTGGAGCCTGCTTCCGATTCTGTCTCTCTCTCTCTTTCTCTCTGTCTCTCTGCACCTCGCCCACTCTCACTGTTTCTCTCTCTCTCTCAAAAATAAACATTAAAACAGTTTTTTTAAATTTTTTTTAAATTTATTGTCAAATTGACTTACAAAAATTTTTAATACAGCTTTATAAACTGTGAAGTTAAGGGGCGCCTGGGTGGCTCAGTCGGTTGAGCAGTCGACTTCGGCTCAGGTCATGATCTCACGGTCCATGAGTTCGAGCCCCGCGTCGGGCTCTGTGCTGACAGCTCAGAGCCTGGAGCCTGTTTCAGATTCTGTGTCTCCGTCTCTCTGACCCTCCCCCGTTCATGCTGTGTCTCTCTCTGTCTCAAAAATAAATAAACGTTAAAAAAAAAAAAATTTAAACTGTGAAGTTAAGTCGTCAAACTTTATTCTTCTTTTTAGAATTTATTTGGTTGTCCTAGTTCCTTTGCTTTATAGATTTTAGAATCAGTTTGTCAATATCTACCCCCCAAAAAGACCTTGCCAGGATTTTGATTGGCATTATGTTGTATCTATAGATCCATGAACATAGAACACTCTCCATTTATTTAGAGCTTCTTGATTTCTTTCATCAGTAGTTTTCTGTACTTTGTAGTTTTCTACTACTTTGTAGTAGATTTCTTTCTTTGTAGTTTTCTGCATATAGTGTTTTATAAACAAGTGTTCTGCCTATAAATCCTTTTCAAAAATTTAGTGCCATTTAAATGGTTTGATTTGGTTTCACGTTTCAGTTGTCCATTGCTGGTATTTCGTAGGAAAGCTGTTGACGGAGATCTTGCTAAACTTGCATATTAGTTCCAGTGGGTTTTTTGGTAGACTCTTTGGAGTTTTCTACATCAACTATCATTTCATCTGCAAATAAAGACAGATTTAGGGGGCGCCTGGGTGGCGCAGTCGGTTAAGCGTCCGACTTCAGCCAGGTCACGATCTCGCGCTCCGTGAGTTCGAGCCCCGCGTCGGGCTC